GCGGGCAAAGACCGCTGTGGGTTTGCGTTGTTGGAAGGTTTCCAATTCAAATGCTTTGAGGGTGAACGATTCTCCAAAAAAAAGTGCCATGTGATTTCGAAAAATGGAGGGAAGGCTGGTGGGACGGCTGACACCCAATTTATGTGCGCACAATGCGCTCCACGTCGAAGTAAGCGGGGTCAGATCGGAGAGCACAACAGGAAAATCCGCGGACATCGGCCGGTAGGCCGGCATGAATGCAGTAGAGGTGGTAGCAGACGCGGGAAGCATGCTGTCATCGCGAGTCCCACTACACAGGGCCAGCAACTCAGGCCGCTGCACGCAGAGCTTATCCGCCATCGAAATAACTTCATGCACCGCCGATGCAGACAAAATAGCTTGGGAGGGACGGCGAACGTAGGAAAAATCACCCAAAACATCGCGATGACCACCGATGCGCGTATCCTTCGCTAGGTCCCAGTCTCGCGGGCGCTTAGCAAAAGCATCGCAAGGCAGCATGCTCTACAAGGGAAGAAGCAGAAAGAGGCTAAGTCTAGATTCTCGTGGGTGGTGAGACCAAATAACACACAACCCAGGGGTTGTGAAAAAATGTGGCAACAACACACAGCAGTGGCGGAGGCCGCGTCCAGCACCCGCTTACCGTGTAATGCCAGCGGACGCCAAGTTTAAAGGGAGTATAAGCCGTGGGCGGTAGCTTGCTCCTAGAGATATATGAAGGTAGGTTCTGTCGTTGACACGCTTGTCCACGACCACGTTGAGATGGGAAGGTTGCTTGTTATTGCTGAGAGACGATCAGCAAGGGTCTGATGTTGAGGGCGATCTGCCCTCAACCTAGGGGACACGCAGACAGCTAAATCCCGATGGGGTACGTCCTAGGGGGCACGCAGATAGCTAAATCCCGATGGGGTACGTCCTATGAGGATATACCTACTGACGTCCCCCATCATGATCTACACCGACAGTGTACTCTATCTGTGCCGTACAGCAACACTCCTTAACACTCGCCTGCCAAATTATCTCCGCTACAACTCTGTGCTCATGTTCTCTGCTAAGAAACATCTCTTCTTTCTGTATTCTGTCTACGGAAGGCTAGTTGCCGCAGTCGCACCTATGGTAAACTGTGCCTGACTACGTTGTAACAGTTTTCCTCGACATACTCTAGTCTAAAGGTGTAACTTCATCAAATAAAATATATGCTCAGAGCTCATTTGCACCCGCCGCCTGGATCACTTGGGTTTATGAATGAGCGAGTAGAGATTAAAAGCACCCTGCGTACAGCGACACTCCCCAGCATAGACTACAGTTGGCGCCCGCAGTTAAAAACGCTTATTTCAGGTCCAGCCTCGAATCCTTATTGTGGGCTATAAACTCAGCGTATGTCGTTCAGTTTCTTATTTTAAGTTTCTTATTTTTTCGTGCAGCCAAACCCTGCTGAATTTCTTAAATCGGCAATTTCTAATTTCTCTGCTTGCATACTACACAACGTTCCAAATATACAAATGATTTGTACTGCTTTCCTCGACCCCGTACTCAACCCCGATTATCACTACCGACGGCTGCACGTAAGGCCACTCCCTAGAAGCGAAATGTATCCAGCGACAACGTCTCGCTATCGCTACAAGGTCCTGTACCCCCCTCATGAGTGAGGGCTGAAACTAAACAAATAAGTGCAGAAACACCGCATGATGCCTCACCCGCACGCTGTAGTACCAACAACGAAAACTACCCCGTCATTATGTTGCAAGCTCCTTGAGGCGAACATTGGGGTTTGTCACCCTTTTGCGCCTCCCGCTCCCCTCCTTTCTTATTGAGACTTTTCTTATTGTGTGACCCAGATTGAGCTATGTTCCTTAACCCGTTTTCTGTTTTTTTCGTGAAAAAGTGAGCCTCAATTTCTTATTCTAAAAAAAAATTTCTTAACTGCGGGCGCCAACTGTGCAGGGTACACAGCACCACTACTGTTGGTTCGCACAGGACGCCTCACGCGGCAATCCACAACGACACGAGTACACACGGTTAATGGGACATTGTAGCAAGGAGGGGTAAAGATCGTGCCCTCCATGGTACACCCAGCAATCCACAACCACACCACGACCCGAGAACAACTGGAATTTTCGAACGGAACGTCAATCGTTCTCCGGTTCCGCATAATAACGTTCCTGACAGTCTCGCGGAAGGCTGTAACAGGTAGGTACACAGGTACACACAGTCACAATGCCCCATCAGTTTCACCGTGTGTGATACCATGGCCTCCGCCACCGATGAACGACACCTCACTACCGACGAAGACGACGTACGCAGGCGAGTATACACGGTGTGCGAGATGGTATGTACAGTAGTCTAGATGCAGGAAAACTGCTGTTTCTTTCCTCCGACCAAAGTGTACTGAACACGGCAGCGAGAATAGCAGAACATTCGGCAGCGACTACAGCACCCAGTAGTTGACCCGCCGCGCGTGCTGCTGCCGTATGCCTGCATTGCCCGCAGCCCGCCGAACAGAGGACCTCGCCCCCGTCGTCCTACATCCGTGCTGTTGTTGTTGTTGTCGTTGTGTTGTTGGTGCTGCTGTTGCTGCTGCTGCTGTTGTTGTTTGTTGTTTTTCTTGAACTCGTGTCAGTTGCTAATCCCAAAATCTAGCGGAGACTCGGTCCGTGCTCACAAAAATGCTAGAGCCATCAGAAGATCTAAAGAACACACACACTATTAGCAAGAAAAGGGTACACAAGCCCGAGGAGTTACACCTACAATACCTGCAGCACGTTTACGTGCTCATAACTGAACTACACGCCCACACGCTACAATTCGACCACAGCAGCAGCATCACTCCCCTTGTCCCGCATTTAGCCAAAATGAATGTCGACTAGATACAGCGTCTGTACAACAATAACACCATTTTTTTTTGTTGCCTTCCGACAATTGCAGATGTACCTCAGAAAACTTTCACTTAATGTCTCATACTCTACATGAATATTAAACCAATACGAAGTACAACAACATATGTAGGACTTATTTCTACAGTCACTTACATCGTAAAAATATCTCCTCTTCAACTTGAAATAAAACCAATGACAATCCTCATGGTATCGTATACGCGTTCGTAAGATTGC